CCCCCCCCCCCCCAGGTCCTGCAGAAGGGCGCGAAAGAGGCACCCACAAAGCCCAAAGGTCGGCCTAAAAAAGACTCCCTGGATGGCGGAACCGAGTCAGAAATCGAGGTAGATGACGACACACCAGAAGATGACGTCACAACGGAAGATAATATCATACCTTTGAGTCCTGAGGTCAACTCGCCCACGTCAGAAGACGAGCTAGAAGCGCATGACGTAGAACAAACTATGGCACACGAGGGGGCCAAGTGTTCAGATTCTGAGGCGGAAGAAAGGGAAGAAAGACCGTGGTGACACTTTCGGTGTCTCATAAGATGGTTGAGAAATAATGATGGTTTATCTGTAAGCTGTAGCTTTCTGATCGATTTTTTGTTTGTTTGTTTTTGTTTGTTTTCTTTTTTGTTTGTTTGTTTGTTTGTTTGTTTTGGATGTAAAGAAAAGCCCATCGACACAATAATGGTCATTTAGTGTCACGAAAAAGTGAGACAGACAAACAGAAGCAATAGAGGAAAAGTAAAGAAGTTGGAGTTTTAGAACATTAGCCTATGACGTAAGAGATTGTTTATCATCGTTTTACTCCTCACTTCTGGAAAGAAAGGGAGAGGGTGCAGAAAATAAGTCTTTTGTGAAAACGTGGGACACACACACAAAGCGACCACGAGACACTCTTAGTTCTGATTTGTAAAGACGACCAAGCGTCTACACAAAAAAATTTTTTAATTATCATTATTTTTTTTCGATAATATACTGGAAATCCCAATTTTGTCTTTTGTTTCTTTTTTTTTTTCGAGCCCCAAGGTCTCACCGCTTCTCGTAGTTTTATGGACCTCTTTCGTCGTATAGCTCAGGAAATATTTCACAGCTCTTCATGCCAAGTTACCCCATCTGAGGACTCAATGTCCGGGAAGATCCATGTCAGCGTTGCTGAATTTGTTTTTTGTTTGGTTTTGTTTTGTTTTTGGAGGTTACTTTTAAGTGCAGCCACGCATAGCCTACATAGTTTTTCCTCACGTGAGTTCACGCTCTACAAAATTTATACTGCGGTATGCCTGTGTGTTCGGGCACGAGAACCTTTTGAAATAAAACATTTTACTTGACATACAAGTACGGGCGCTTCTGAAGCCATTGGCAGATTTATGTTGTACATCTATGTTTTACTTTAAAGGGAAAGGATGGAGGGTATCTTACCAGAATAATGTCCACACTTTGAAATTTAAAAAAAACAGAGAATCATGTGCATGTCTTTGGCTCTTTGTCGTTATGGGTAGGTCAAAGCTGTATGGAGTAGAAGAGATGCTTTTACGTTTTCGTTGACGTTCGTCCTCAAAGTTGTTGATATTTGTTCTTGTTATTTCTGCAGAAATGTAAGATCGGCTCACAGTATTTGGTTATCATTAATTGCTTTGCTATGTCATGAGTTGTTCATACGTCTCCTTTGAAAATCGAGAAGTGTATCAGAAAGAGCGAATTTTTTTTTTTAACCCCAACCAAACGGAAAAACAAAAGCAAAATCATTTGTGCATTAGTTACTCTCATTCTTAGCACAATTTTCCGAAAGAATAAAGGATGAAAAGATAATAAAGTTGATAAGCATTGAAATTCAATTTTTAAAAGTCCGTTTTTTAATAGTTTTCGGGCAGTATCTTAGTGAAAGACAAGAAACTGATAAGTGTTCAAATTTAACTTTAAAAGTCCATGTTTCATGGTTTTGGGGTTGTATCTTGATTCATAATTGTTCCTCTTCAGCCTAGTATTTCCAGGCCAGAGCACATTAAATTTTTTTCTAAAGTTTTGCGCTCTCTTCGATACAATTCAAGTCAGTAATGAACATTATTTCTTCCTTACCACGTGAGACCCCCCCACAAATAAAACGTGGGTATGGTGGGATGTTTGCTTTATGCCAACTTATAGACGAGGACTCGTTGAAATATTTCTCTTGTTTAGGAATCGAACTCATGTCTCCTGCGTGTAAGAGGAAGAGCTTGACTGTTATTCTATCTTTTGTATAGTGTTTTATGACCCCGTGGGACATGTTTCAGTTGGTAGGAAATTTTGAATTTTGCACGGGTGGCGGCCGAAGCCTACTCTTATAGATTTTGGACTACCAAGGGATCTTTAAAGAGCGCAATTTGCGCACGGGACCTCCGAAATTGTTTCGCCCTTGTCCGAGAAGGCTAGGTGTAGATCTTACCTGCAATAAGACCAGGGGTGTGGCTGAAAGACAGCAGTAAGAAGGAGCCAAGGAGAAGCAGTAGAAAGGCTGCAGAAAGTGTCAGGAGCCCAAAGGAGGGGGCAAAGGAGTTGGGATGGAGGCAGAAAGTGGAGACGAAAACAGACGAGAGAATACTGTTAGAGTAGACAGCAGGAAAGGATGTGAAATCAGAACATTTCAGAGAAGAAAATTTTCCGTTGCTATCCGGATTCGAACACCTTAACCTCTTGGCCACGAGAACTTGACTGTTACTACATTGATGCTGGTGTGACTCGGAAGTGTCTATACGATATCATGAGACTTTAAAAAAATTGGAGCCACGTTTTGAATTAACTTTACTTTGTTTCTTCTTTCAAATGATAAGTGTCACCTTTTTCTAGTGCTCGGTTGAACTGTCTTGTTTGATAAATGTTTCTTTCTGCTGTTGTTGTTCTTGCTGATAGTGGTCGTGGTGGCTGTGGTGGTGTTAATGTTTTTGTAATTTTTTTTTTTTAATTGCCATCGAACAATACAATTGTCAAAGTGTTAATAAAATGCCGTAGGTTGATTGTTTTAAAGAAAAATCTTATTTCTGTTATTGTCGAGTTTTTGTTATTGCTCGTTAATGTCATTAAAGCTGTTTCGGTTTTTTTTTAGATCCAAGGGATTGTTAAATGCTTTTACCCTAATTGACCGTTTTGTTGTCGTGTTTTTTTCTTATTGTTACCGGTGTTGGTAATGTTATTGGGGTTATTGATTTTTGTAATTTTTTTGAAAGTACATTTTGGATCCTGAATTGGGAGAAATCGTCAACGTTAATTTAATGTCTTCAGATTCGCAGACATAATTATACACAAACGCACAAATACACATGCACCAAAACACAATGCAAACATGCACACGCAAACTTGTAAACACACTTACACACATACACACGCACAAACACACACACACACACACACACACGACGCCCTTCGTTTTTTCAGGTTTGAGACAGTTATTGCTACAAAAAGCTAAATTTCTTTATATCGCCTATCGCTTTTGTAGGCTGACGCTTCTGTCTCTGTTATTATAGAAAATCTGCCAGGTTTGTTAATTTCAAGTCGTACTTCCGTTCGATACTATCGTGCTTTCTTTTTTTACTTGGTGCTAAATTCACTGTGATCATTTCGTTTGATGCCCATCACCGCTTTTTCTGGACTCCGTTGTGAAATTCTTCTTTTTTTTTTCTACTGGGAACAACGTCAACAGGTCTTAGATTAGAATCTAGATCTAGATAGCGTCTGATCATGCCGAAAAATAAAACAACGTTCAGCAGTTGGAACCCCTCGCGCTCGCAAAGGTCGAGGTAGTAGGCAAATGCCTTTCAGTTGATGTTAATGTACCGATCATCCTCTTCATCTAAAGGGGGCCCAGCTAGTATATATATATATATATATATATATATATGTATATATATATACACACAAGCACCAACCCGAAAGTTCATACTCTTTTATCTTTTTTTCTCGATTACGCCCCCACCCCCCCCCCCCCCCCCCACCACTCTTTTATTTTTTTTTCTCATTCCCACCCCTCTCTCATTTCTCCTTTTCTATCTCCCTCTTTCACATACACTCAGTATCTCTCCTTCTCCTTTTTGCTCCCCCCTCTCTCTCTGTCCCTCTTCTTCTCTTACTCTCTTTTCCTTCCTCTCAATCTTACCCTCTCTCTCCCTGCCTCTCCCCGCTCCCTCTATCTCTGTCTCTCTCTCTTTCTTCTTCTCTCCTTCCCTCAGAACTACTCCTCCTCTCCCCCTCTCTTTCTCAGCGGACGTATTAACATTTAAAACGACAACAGCAAAAATGTCCTTCATCTTCTGTCCCTTTCTCACCTTGGCTAAATAGGTACTGAACTTTCACAGTGGCTAATGAGGTTCCGAATTCACCCTAGAAGCTGATCAAATTTAAAAATTGACATTAGCCGCCAAGCTGAAAAACGCATATAATATACCACCTTGGTGTGACGTGGTATATCTGGTTGAAAATGTAACAAAACAAAACAAAACAAAACAAAAACACGAGCTAAAACAATGTGCAGGCTCATTTTATATAAAGACATTTTAAATTATTATTTTCTTTGGTAAGGGAGTTACGGCGCTTGCAACTGCATAAGGTCATATTATGAGCGCTGGGGACACGTTAGATATTTTCAGTTGGTTGGCAATTTTGAAATTTGCCCGGATGGCGGCCGAAGCCAACTCTTATCGATTTTGGACAACCAAGGGATCGTTAACGTGCGCAACTTGCACACCGGACCTCCTAGATTTTTCGCCCTTATCTGAGAAGGTTAGATGTTAAATCTTACCTACCATAAGATAAGGGGTGTGGCTGAAAGACAACAGTAAGAAGGAGCTAAGGAGTACCGGTAGAAAGACTGCAGAAAGAGTCGGGAGCCCAGAGGATGGGTCAAAGAAGATGAGGCGGTGGAGGTAGAAAGTGGAGACGAAGGCAGACGACAGAACATTGCTAGGAAGCAGGAAAGGAGTAAATTTTAGAAATGAAAACTTTTTGCCGCTATCCAGATTCGAAACCAGACTTATTGAATTGGGGGAACACCGTATCCTGTCGACTACGGGAGCCCTACCCCCCCCAAAGACATTCTAGACAAAAACGTTGTGGATAACACGGTAGCTGCTATTGGTTTTAATATTTTTGGGGATGAAACCAAACGTCTTCTTCCCGCACTTTCTAAATAGAATATTATTATATGAACACATTTTAAAAGAAGGCAACTAAATTTAAAAAGTAAATAAATTGAAAACCCAAAAGCTGCAGCAATAATAAATAAATAAATAAATAAATGAATGAATAAATGAATAAATGAATAAATGAATAAATGAATAAATAAATACATAAATTCATAAATACATAAATACATAAATACATAAATACACAAATACATAAATACATAAATACATAAATAAATAAAACAGCCCTAAAGCCAACAGCAAAAAGCTCCCCTAAAAACAACAACCTAAACATAACAAAAATCAAACAACTTTTGATCACGAAGAGTCTAACTTCACAGCACGTTATGGGTAAAATTAGATATTTGTTCGTTG